AAGACGCGGAACCACCCAAGATCAGCCCAGCGATCAGATCATGCGAAGTGAAGGTCAAACATTATCGCATTATTCCAGGAGTGCGTGACGAAGAAGCAATCATAGCGTAGCAGTGGGGAAGTAGTATTGATCCCAGAGGAACTCGTAGTCTTCGATGACACCGCCGACCATGTCGAGAAGAGGCTTGCCCTTGAGCGATCCGGTGATGCTGTGTATCCAGGCCCTATACATTATTAGTCATAGATCAATAAAAATCAACGTAACAAGACTTACTTGGTGATGTTCTCGTAGAAAGCGCCGCGCATGGCCCACCATCCCAGGGACCAGCCCCGCTTGCGCAGCTCTTCCTTCTCCAGTCCGGTCAAGCCGCGAAGGCCTCCAGCGAGTCGCTCTTGGAAGTCCTTCTTGGCCAGTTGTCGTGCACCGTACTCCATGCTGACGCCGATCAACCACGGCCTCCAGCTCTTCCTGTCGCCACTGAAATGTTGCATAGCCAGCGCGTAGACAACCGGTCGGAGAATGTACAGTGCTTCGGCCAGCTCACCCTTTCCGCTCACGCGGTGGAGCAGGGCCTTCGGGGGCTTGATATCGTCCGCAGTCAGGACCTTGGAAAGTAGGTAGCTTGAGATATCCGAAGAGTCCGGTAGGCTGGGCATGGAGAGGCCAGTCCTAGGCATTGCCCAGTTCTCTGCCTCGACTGAGCGCTCACTCGGCGGCGTGTCCATACCATCGGCCGATGCTGACGACTCTTCTAGCGAGCTTGGATCAATTTCTCGTTGTGGAAGCGGCGGCGACAGGAGTGGTCTCGAGTTGGTCAATCGAAGCAGCAGCAACCGACATACTGCCTTGACAATCTCCAGCAACACGACCACGCGCCATCGCACCTTCTCACCCTTCCGCTTCGCTGCCATCTCCCATAGCAGTTCTGTGTACTGGATCATCTGGAGCACTAGCGCAATGCGCTTGTATGTGGGCGAGTTCTGCGTCCAGAACTTGGTGTATCGATGATGCGGGGTGAGGGGCTGCCGCCGCGTTCCGGGCATTTGTGCCATGGCTTTGGAGAGGAGAGAGTCATGATAGAGGGAGAGTACTTGGACGCCGCTGTGTACTGGGTCATGTTAGTCGGGACGAATGCGCGATAGCCGGACGCGACCTACTTGATTCGGATGCGACTTCAGATTCCCGGAAGCGGCCTGTTCGTGATTAGCGCGATGCGCAAATACAGATACCGATCTTACATACCCGGAATGATATATGTTAGTGACCGCAGTGCGGATTCAATCTGGGTGACGGCGCTGCTGTTCTTGGTGATGAAGTCGGAGTACATGCCCAGCCACTGCGACGGCATGGACAGCACCTCGCCCGTTTTCTGCGTCGCCTGCCTGTACATGTCTGCAGTCGCCCCAGCTGACGCGCCGAGATGATGCTATTGCGCGACGTGGACGTGGTCGTGTTGGAGTGCACGTGTGTGTAGATAGGAGCGATGGGCGAGGGTGAGATCATGGCTCCATCATCGCGTGCGCTACCAACCGGCCAAGTACCGAGGCTGCTGCGGCTCAGCTACCCCGGATGTTCGTCCCCACCTGCACTGACATGAGTGAACTCCTATTTGTTCCTTTTTGTTCAAAGCCAGTTTTAAAAAGATGGTTGCATTTCATACGGAATGTCATGTCCACCGATGCCATTCAGAATGTCTGGGACAGCATGGAAGGGGTGACGGCTGGTCTCAGGGACGAAAGTCGCCAATCATGTGACTCCGCGTAGGCAGAAAAACGCGTTACACGTCTCTCAGCCCTTTCAAAGTACGCAGACTCCCTTTCCTCAAGCATCACAAAGCCCTGTTTCGTTGCGTCGTGTCCATATCGAAATCGTTCATTTGCTCGTCACTTCCTAATCCACGTGTGCAAACACTGGAGAAGACTTCCATCAGAGAGCAATATCAGTGTTTAAACCATATCGACCCTACTACCCATCCCATACCCTCACACCATGGCGCTTCAACCCACAAACCCCATCCAAGCGCCTCGAGTCCCAATCCACGAAGAGTACATACCCCTCTTCGTATCCATCAACGACTTTGTCTACGACTACATGTCAAAATACGACAACTCCCACGACTATAAGCACATCCTGCGCGTCGTCTCAAACGCACACCGCATACTCCAAGCCGAGCTCGTTCGCGACCCCTCCGTCAGCTACGACACCACAGCCCTCTTCCTAGCCGCCCTTCTACACGACGTAGGCGACCACAAATACATCAAGCCGGGCCAATTAGCCGAGAGGCGCATCTCGGAGATCTTAATCAACCGTGGCTGCAGTTACGAATTGGCTATCGTCGTAGACAATATCGTTAATCACGTCTCTTACTCACACGAGATACGCGAGCCCGTTATCACCGCGGGAGTTCTAGCAGCGTATCCTGAACTGGCAATTGTACAGGACGCAGATCGTCTTGATGCTATCGGCGCGGTGGGCATAGGGCGGTGTTTTTCGTATGGGGCGGCGAAGATGCCGGGGGAGCCTATGGATAGGGCGATTGAGCATTTCGAGGAGAAGCTGTTTAAGTTGGAGGGTATGATGAAGACGGAGACGGGGAAGCAGATGGCGAGGAAAAGGACTGAGGTGTTGAGGGATTTTGCAAGACAGTGGGAGGAGGAAACGGAGTTGAGTTTTGAGGTCTTGCAATAGATATTGTTGGCCTAACTGGGAATCATTTTAAACGTATTGCTGGAGTTGATGCCTTCGCCGATATTCTTACACCTTCGTAGTAAAATCTTGTACTAAGTGGTCAAAGGACCAGACTTCACTCGTAAGGCGCAGTAAAGGTCATCATACAATCATCGAACATGATCCCAATGATGCGAATCTGATGACAGTCATGCAACGTATCCGCAACTCCCACACCTCGATCGACTCATTCCAAGAAACTCAGTCAAGACCTCATCAACACCCACGGGTACCGCGGCCCTTGGCAGGACGGGTACGGAGCCGGCCGCCCTCGATTCTGATCTAAGATCAACAACGTTGTTCCCCAACCTGTTCAGCCCTAAGATCTCGGTTATCTGTAGCGCAGACGACAGCCGACGAGCAAAAGAAACATCGACCTCACTTTTGCGAGTCATGACATCACGCCGTTTAGAGGTGTGCTGCCCAGGTAGAATGAATAGCTATCGTAAACTCGGGGTATACTCCGACAGAGTTTCATGGTACATCTGCTTGACTCATTCTTTCCATGCAACATCTCTCAACCACAGGCCACGGAAAAGACTCGACTGGAACGGCCATCTTCACCGATGAGCATGTGCGTGCGGGCCGAATAACGTAGCGTTCGCTCCATAATGATCCAAGCCACAAGTTGCATGCGGCGGAATGAGAAACTATCCCGATTACTTAATTCGCTGTATCGGTTCGAGCCGTTTCCACGTGGATACAACAAGGCACTGTCAACTCATCTTCTAGAGTCGTCATCGTCAAAACATCGTGAGATATGAAATCACAGCAGCGTAAACAACAATGACGGTGTTCAATCACCCGTAGATCAGGGTCTCGCGGGAGGAGTTCCCAGCCAATGAAGCGCACCCCCAGCTTACCAACCTCATCTGGAGCGCGTGCCTCTGTCTCCGACGATGCCACTACGTGTCGCACGCTCCATCCGCGGTACGCTGGTCAACAACAACCAATTGAGCTGCGGACGACGCTCCGGTGCGACCCCATTTCCTCATCGGTAGCATGCAGCCCTCACCTTTCGAAGTACAGGTCCGACACACACTAGCATGCGCTAAGGCATACCCCATCTGTGTCTGCGTTGACGTCTGGATTACCCCAAGGAGGTAATTCCAGCCTGAACCATCGGTATAATGCAGACCGCGGCCGTAGCTTTTGCGAGACTGTCACGATACGAGACCAAGAGTATTACGGTGGAGACAAAATAATCTGCTGTCTATGCATGGCAGATGCAGCCGCAGAAATCTCGATGCGGCTAACCGGAGTAAAGCCCTGCTTGCACAGCTGCAGGTGCACCGTTAGTAGGACGAATGTGGAACGACCATTGCATCTGCTACAGTACACCATCGAATCTCTTTCTAGTATATGTCTTGTTGACGAATGAGAAATACACACGGAGTTATTTCACCGTCGCCAATCACGATGGGGTACGTTTTCCAAATAACGACATCATGCCATGCCAGTACTGGAGTGCTTGCCGCGGAAACGTGGGCATCTTGCGCAAACCGCAATACCAAGACGCATATTAAACAAACACCAAAGATGACGATACGTAACGGCAATTGCCGGGTTCGCATTCCAAACACGCGTATGTGTAAAAGACTGCTGCGCAAAAGATGAAGTTCGGCGACGCACGCAATCCGCATCACTCTGGCTTCCGATTGGCGGGCAAACTTGCCGCGTTCCAATTACCATCGAGATCCCGGAGGCCTGGTCTTTTTTGAGCAGCATCGATATTCGACAAATTCCATCCCTTAAAAGATGGGAAGGAGACCACGTTTCTGGGCCCCACCATGACCGTATTTATCATCGGTTTCTAGCCTTCGTTTTTACGACTTTTTGTTCTGTTTGAGCACGTCCTGCTACTGGCTTTTTCGTTTTCGATCGAGCGCTATGCGTCCACTCAGGCCACTCCTCCCGTCTGCTGTCCGCCCGCGCAACGAACCTCTCCCACCTTTACCTCGTGATCGCGTCGCATCCGCCTGCGATCAATGCCGCGCGAGGAAGATTAAATGTAACGGCGAGCGACCTGTCTGCATCGAATGCGTCAAGCGGACAACATCCTGCCACTACGCTACCCGATCGTCGGAAACCCAGGGCCAAGCCCTAAAACGGAAATACGATGCCTTGGAAGCCGAAAACGAAGCGTATGTCGAACTATTCAAGTTGATCCGGACGAGCCCGGATAGCGAGTCGTATGAGCTGCTGAGGAGGGTCAGGAAAGGGCGTGATGTTGAGGATGTGTTGAGGGAGATTAAAGAGGCGGATTTGCTCATTCAGCTTAATCCGAAGCCGGAGACGAGGGTGCAGATTACGTTGCCAAGCTTGGCGAGTATCATGCCGAAGCGCATGTCTATGCCGGATAATCCGTACTTTGCGCTGGCGGCGACGAGCCAGGCGCCGTCGAATACGGGCCATAGGTCTTCGCCGGATAACCCGGCGGCGCAGTATCCGAGTCCGCCTGTGTAGTCTTTTGTGGCTGTCATCTGGATGGAGACTTACCGGATGCTATGAACAACTGCTCAGCGGTGATTAGCGAGATAGCTATTATGCTGTCGTCGAGAGGACAATACTCGTTTCTGTCGTAGAGAAACTTGGAGTTATCAGACTCGTAAGTTTTGTAGGTATCCATTTTTGGACTGACTAACACATTCAGAAAGTATCCAGCAAGAACCGTGTATACCTGGCTATCAATGCTCTCGAGCTTGAGCTGTAAGCCGAACGCTAATCTGTGTATTGGCTATCACACCACGTCTCCGGTATTGGATCAAGATACACATCTGCCTTGTCAAAAAAGACCACCGACTCATTCTGGAGTCACAAAAACGGTGGCGCATCGGCGGCTATGGGTTCCAGCTGCGACTACCTGGACCCTTGTGCTGGTTACAAGCTGGCGGGCTGTCCGACCGTATCCCGACGAGACGTGCGCGTCACTAACAGTGTCTGAGATCTGACATAATGAGGCTGATGGAGAGCTGTGCCGGATAACCACTGAAAAGTTGCGCAGCGAGGTGGGTGTGAAGAAGCCGCGAAACCGTGCCTCATCGCGTCATGACGACACTGGGCTTGGCGTCACGTGCACCGGCAAACGCTCCTGCCTTCACCTTTGGCGATGGGCGGTCTCGCTACACGGCGAATTCTGCGCTCTCTCACTCCTTGCGAGCTTCCTGTCTACACCATCGCTTCTTGAAGAGAGCGACCAAAACTACTCTCCAAGCAGACGCGCCTTCCGCTGACCTTCCAACGATGGCATAATCATCCGACTTTCTACCGATTACTATCGTCGACAAAATGATCACCAACCGCCTTATAGTGCCATGGGACGAGGTGGAAGAGCCCTACCACGAGCGATACAACCGCATCTCGGATACTTCCAAAGTATCCACCGAGTCCAAAGGAGCTACCAGGTCAAAATCAACTACCAAATCCAGAAGAGCTACCAGAAGAGCTACCAAGCTGTGCTGGCCCACCAAGGGTAAAAAATCGAAAAAGGCCAAGACCACGAGAAAGTCTACACCATTTCCTTTCTCACGCCTACCAGCCGAGCTCCGCGCCAAGATATGGGCTATCGCCTTCCACGATCAGATATCCCCACCCCGTAAGAAGCTTAGCTATTGCGACACACCTGATCGGAATTTCGTCATCATCCATCAGGACAAGGGAACCATCTCGGTCCAAACACATCGTGGCTATCCTACACTCTTCTTCGTCAACCGTGAAGCGCGATACGAAGCCGCTAAATTAGACGGAGGCGCGTGGTATTCTCTGGGTGTCGGCGCTGCAGAAGTCTACGCGAACTTCAACAAGGAGGATGTTTACGTTTGTGACAGCTACAAAGGCCCGAGGTCGTCTATTCTGGTCCAGAAAGCGCGTTCCATTGATCAAGAGAGGGCCCGACGTGTCAGACAGGGCGGATGGGCGGTCCTGGAACTTGACAAAATTATCCTTCGCAATCGCGTCGCTAGAATTTGACGGTAAGCAATACCTCGTTTTGGATCGGCGCGGGCAGTGGATATTCATGCTTAAGGAGTTCGGGCGGGGGAGAAGTCCAAGGCGTTCCCAGCATATCCGCAGTTTATCTGCCCGCACGACAACCGATCCAGCGATCTGGCTTGAAGGAACCCATGTACCTAGAAAAATCATAAGAAAGTTAGCTTGTTTCCAGAAAAATCGGATCATTCAGCCCACCTCCCTAGTCCCCTCCCTCAATCCTCCCGCCCACCTCCTCAGCACAAGCCCTAACAATCTTCATGCAATCCCCCAACTTGAACCCACCCCGCTCAGCGGTATACCTCTGCCTGGTGGTGCCTTCGCGACACGACTGAATACTATTGTACAGCACGACATCATAATACTGCGTTTGCCAAAGAAACCAGGGGACGATTGCCAGAATGAAACCGGAGATGATTATGATTCTTGCTTTCTTGGGGATGTCACTGTCGGAGATGAAGAAAACGATGAAGAGGACTTTATACGCGAAAAGAATACGGGTACTACCACGCGACCAAGCTGAGAAGATATCGGTCTGTCGCTACATGAGCTAATCCAACGCCCATCATCCTTCAAGACAAGCAGACATCCATCTGACCCGCCCATCACCTCACATCTTCCATACCACCAACGAAGCCATCTATCTGCCTCGCTACATCAAACCCTACTCCGCTTGCGGCGTCTTCTTAGACTTCTTAGCCTCGTGTTTAGGCGCATCTACCGCCCTACCATCCCATGTTAAAACTTGTAGTCTCAAGTTTCCGTTTGCCTGTGAATCATACCAAGCTGCTAGCTCTTGTACTTTGCTTAGAGGTCTGCGTTCTGCCGTTTTGGCTTCGGAGGTAGAAGCTTTTGACTCGGTAGCGTCAGCAGCGGCAACTGGGCCATCTGAGTGGTCGGATGGGGCTGTTACTGGTGATGATGGGTCTTCTTGAGTACTTGCTGTGTTATCGGTGTCATCGGAGTGGTCTGATGGGGCTGTTACTGATAATAATGGTTCTTCTTGGGTACTTTCAGTCTCATCGGTGTGATCGGATGGGGCTGTTGCTGGTGATTCTCGGTTTTCATGAGTGGGTTCGGAGTCTAGAAGTGTTAGACTGGGAGAAAGTGCAGGTTGAGACATATCGTGGGCTGGTAGAGTTTCAAGATGCGTAGATGGATATGTGAACTAGGAAGCGGGGGATTTAGGCGTCAGATTTCTTAAAAGAATTGAGAAATCTCGCTGGTAAGATCAATGAGAAGAGACACAAAGTCGAGAGATAGAGATAGTGGCTGTATAACAGTGGTTTCGGTACCATTGTATGGTGTCAAAGGCTTAAGACAAAGAAAGATGAAGCAGGAGAAACACGATGCAGAAGACAGCCCAAGGGTGAAGACAATGTGTCTCATTAGCAATAACATTCGCATTAACAATAACAGTAACAACAGCGGCTTTGTGTATTGCTGCGCCGGGGTATAAATGAGGTAAAAGAAAACGTGAGCTTTTGATGCCGGTCGCATCGTAAAAATACATAGCATACAGATGTCGATGCTCAAGCACCCTTCTCGTTCTTCTTAAACAAGTAGCGCAGAGCCTTGACGCGTTCCTTGATGGTCTTCGACTGCGTGACTTCATAGAGGGGCTTGTGCTCCTCGAAGATGTCGTGCTCGCTTTCGTAGTCGACGTGCACGTAGGCTCGCTCAACATCCGCAAGACCTGTGGCGTGTTAGTATTGGGTGGTATATGTAAGTGAGTGACTGAGACATACCTTCAAGCTTCCTCTGAAGGGTCTGCGAGACGTCATGGGTAACCTTTAGCGGCAGACCCTCATCCATAACGATGTCTACTTCGACGTAGTAGTTCTGCCCAGCATGGTACGCGCGGCAAGTGTCGACCCTCTGGATCCTGTCGTCGTGTGTGACAACCATGTAGATCAGCTTGCTGATGTAGTCCTTAGGTGCGGACTTGCCAACGAGCAGCCAGACGTGGTCGAAAGCATTGGCAGCCCAAGAAACCAAGATCAAGAGACCGATGAGAATAGCACCGATAGGGTCGACATACCAGACGACGCGGCTACCGACGATCGACATGGCAAGACCGAAGGCATTGACGACAATGTCATTGCGATGGTCGATGAAGAAGACGTGGACAGCGGGGTAACGCCGATAGATGAAGCAGTAGACGCACAGGGAGCCTTTGCAGAAGATGGCTGTCGCAACGAAAGCGATGGGGATGATGTGGAGTTCTTCAGATTCCGTCGCACCGCCAGCCAAGGAACGCCCAGATTCGATCTTGTTACACGTCAATAGCTGAGCCGGCCACACGGGAAGGAGTACTTACGATGAGCTGGATGGCTACCGTTGTCATCAAACAGCAGAACATGATGATGCCGATCGTCTCGATACGTGTCCGCCCCACGGGGTACTTGTAAACGCTTGGCCGTGCTGCCATGCGCGATGTTATGAGCATGACCACCGACGAGACTAAGTCCATGAAGGCGTCTGCAGCTGTCGCGAACAGCGACAGCGAGCCCGTAGAGATGGCTGCATACATCTGGATGATGAACAAGCAGAAGTTGACGATGAACGAAGCGTTCACTGCGAAGCGAACCTTGGGTCCATTCTCGACCATGTCAAGAGCAGCCAAGCGTTCTTCATCTCCGCTCTGGAGGAACTGATCGATCAAGGCATTCTGTCTTGTGTAGAACTTCTTCATGTGCCTGGGCTTGGCGAGTGGATAATCACTCTTCATCTGTTTCTGGGTCACATCGTCGCGCATGTGTTTGCGGAGATCGAGTGGATCATTGTGAACGGTGATGGTGACATCGTCCTTGGCTCCCCGCGACGATGCATTGTCTACAGATGACAGCCGCTCAATGGCATCTGTCCTATGCTCGGCGCCGACATTGGCCTGGTTTGACGAAGGCGTAGTGCTAGAGCCTACTGGAGCGCTTGTTTGCCCAGCAGCTTGGTCGTGTGATGGGCCATTAGGTGAAGCTAGACGGACGGTCAGACAAGAGAACCACGGGCTTGGGTTGCCTGAGACATACTGTGAAGATCGGAAGTCATGGTGTCCGGGCAATGGGCTGAGGGACGCGTATGTGTGTGTATGGGCGATCTCTAGGATCTGCTACGGTGTGGGAGTTACGAAGTGGGTGATATATGCCTCAGCTCAGGGCATGCAATGTAATAAAGCACCGCTGCGAACGCCACCGCGGCGTATTTCCCGCCCTCCTCCGCAGGAGTTTCTTTCTCTGAACCCTGAAGTCATAGTGGAATGGCCAGATCGTTTACTCGGTGCTACAATGTGTGAACACTGCACGTTGGTGCAGGTGTAGGATTGCTGGGCACGGAGCATGAAACTCGCTAAGCATTTCCAACGGCTCGCTAGTACATGGTGGGTTAGCCGTGATACCTGTTATGGTATGACTTGATGAGCTTGGCCTTATCTTGATACCTTATAAGGCTTGGCTGTCTGCATGCGCGGAGGCGTGGTGAAAATGCCCGCGCACGCGTG